GCTCCTTTTGAGCCTGGCAGAGTGGCCAAACTAACCAATCCCAACATCAGAATTCTATACACCTGAGAGAGATAGCAAACTTCCCAGAGAATTATGTTGTGCTACTCCCAACAGAAATACTCCAGGTGTATAACTTTAACAATCAGGAGCTACTACTCAGTTGCTCACGGCAAATTACACCATGGTGTTTACAAAGACTTATGGCTAGAAAAAGCCACACTATGTAATTTATTCACCACACTGTTCGACCTCATTCTTTGTAGCATAAAGATAAAACACTCCCAAGATAACAGCATGGATATCCTTAAGTAGAAGCTCCACATTGTTATAATCATGTCACAGCAATGAAGTGATATTTTTTGAGCAACCACTCTTTCTGACCAATGTACTTAATATTGTGATTATGATGTTCGTACTTTGATGTACTTGTACTTTGACAGCAGTGATATTTATGGAAAAGGAAGAAGTTAATTCCTGTTTTTAACAAAGAACATGAAGTTAACTAATAGTTGGAGATTTTTAGCAATAGAAAGAATCTAGGTAAAATTAAGTCCTTGTTAATTTATAGAAGTGTATGGGATATTTTGGATTATTTTTTATCTACCCAAAAAGTATTAAAGGAATTCACATATAACAGTTTGTGTTCAGATAATCTTTTAAGTGGTTTACAAATATTAACTCATTTAATTCTCATAACTTTTTGAGATAGATGTTGTTGTGTAAGCTGCCATCAAGTCAGCCCTCAACTCATGATGACTCCTGCAAAGCAGAATAAAATGCCACCCCTTCTGATCCACAAGGTTTTTATTGACTGGTTTTTATCAGTAGATCACCAGGCCTTTCTTCCTAGTTCATCTTAGTCTGGAAGCTCTGCTGAAACCTGTTTAGCATCACAGCAGCACACAAGCATCCAGTGACAGACAGGTAGTTGCTCCATATAGGCATGTTGACTGGAATTCAACCCAGGTCTCCCTCATGGAAGACAGGCATTCTGCCACTGAACCATCAGTGCCCTCATTTTAAGATTGATCCTTGAAAAAGGGTGTGGTGGCAGCACTGCATCACAATACTGTTAGGTTATTCCCATTTTACTGAGGAACAGTGAGGAACAGAATGATTTTAAAGCTTACCCAAGATCACACAGTTTATAAATGGAGGAATCCAGTCAAGCTCCAGAGTCCTGTTCATGTGGTCTTGGTGACAGATTGCCAGGCCCTGATTTCACACCTCTTTTCTCGCAGGTGTGGGCATTTAATCCAACCTGAGTCTGTTGTGAAACTTTACCCCACTGCCACAATGCACAGTTTAAGTGATGATTCAGCAACCTAATTGAGGACATTTATAACACTCTGAGATTTTTAGAACAACCACCAAAAGGAAATAAGGCAAAACAAAACTTGGAAGCCACATCAAGCATAGTCAGACTGGGAAAGACTCAAAGAATAAAGCAAAATACACAGAGAAAGGGATATAGAGAAAGACAAGAATGTGGATCAATCCTGATAAATTTCTATTCCACCTCCCAGTCATGGCATTTCCCAAGTCCAGCTGCATTACCTCCTTTATGTGATTTTGTTATATACTTTTTCTGTTTCCTTCTTTTTTTTTAATTGAACTCATAAATTTTTTATGGCATATTTTTGCCCCTAAGAGTTTTTATTGTTATATGAACTCTTTTCCTTTATGGTTTTTCCCTTTGGTGTAATTCTTATAAAGTCTTACCCTGAGAGAATATAAATATTTGTTTGTATTTTCTTATATGTTTATAACTTAATTTTTCTTTAATCTGTATGAAATACATTTCCAGGAACATCATGAGGAATCATAACTGATTTTTTTCCTAGGGCATTTTCTTAGTGCCATTTCTTGATTATGTGAGTCTTTTCCCACAGATTGTTGTTGTTGTTGTTATGTGCCGTCAAGTCGGCCCCGACTCATAGCGACCCCTCCTTGGGTTTCCGAGGCAGTATCACTACGGAAGTAGGATTGCCCAACCTTCCTTCCGAGGAGTGGCTGGTAGGTTTGAACCGCCAGCCTTCTGGTTAGCAGTCAAGTGTCTTAGCCACTATGCTACCAGAGCTCCCACAGATAGCCCACCTTTATCAGAAGCTAATTTTTTGTTTATAGTTAAGTCTGTTTTGGGGATCGTTTATTTTTGTTAATTTCTCTATATTTCTGTAAGTTTAATACATATTTTATAATAATTTAATCCTAATTTGGTTTGTTCCTTTAATTTTGGCAAATCAGGATTTTTTAAGAAACTCTAAATACATGCACATTCTTTGTGAATTTGACTTTAATCATAATCTCTGTTAGCCTACAACTTTTAAGACCACGTTTCTAATAGTCTCATCTTTTTTCCATTCCTGTAGCAGTATTTCATTTTTCCCTCACCTTTATCATCACTATGAGTTGTAATTAACCCATTGGCAGTGGATTTGGTGTTTTGGTTTTTATGCACCACCAAGGAACTCTGGTGGTACAATAGTCTGTGTGTTAGTATAATACTCAGTGTTTCTTGTTTTTTTCTGGATGATGTTGCATCATGACTCTTCTAAAATGTACTAACCTTCCTCAGAGCTGATACTGAGATATTGCAAGAAGACTTAGTACTGACCTTTAAAATAATACAGTGCAGTAAGAACCCTCTGGAATTTTTTCAGTTTATCAACTTAATGTAAAATGTCTTGTTTATGAAAATGCTTTTATTGTTTGTTTTTAAGGATTTAATTTTCACAAGTTTAAAAGATTTTCTAAATATTAAGCATAGAAGATGAAGAATACTTTCTTTGTTGTTATTGCTTTACAAAAGGGAGTACAGGCAGAGCCAACTCCAGTGGGTAGTGGCTGAGGCCAGTTTATGCCTAGTTGAAATGACTGTCATAATCCATTTTTTATATTAGTGTCTAATGTGCTAATGGATGTTTTCAAATTTTAATAAAGCAATAATTTATCCAAATCGTCAATCTTTACATAGTGAAATTAAGTTATATGAGCATATGATATCCCCTAAGGTTTATGATAATTGTTTATTACAAACTACACATGATACAGGTGGAGGTGTCATAGAGTCTTTGCTTACAGTTGAGTTAAAAAGACTGTCTGTGTGATACAAAATAGTTGTTCAACTCCTTGAAGAGATTAACATATCTTAATGCCTAGACATTATAAGATTAAGCACTAAATGATCAAAAGAAAAAAGAAAAAATTTACACATTTAAGTAGTATGATACCTGTCGTTGTTGTTGTTGTTGTTGTTGTTATGTGCTGTCGAGTCGGACCCAACTCATAGAGACCCCTCTTTGGGTTTCCA